CCCCCAAACATCTCTCCAACCGTCTTCATTTCATTCTCCCTGCTACTGTAATCCTCTTTCATTTTCCGGCTTGCATTTGGACAGCGTCTGAGCTGCATCACAACAATCCCCAAGTCCACACTAAAGCTTTGCTAATTCGACTTTACTATTCAATATTCGCTATTTTGTCTGCTATTCACAGCTATTCGGAGGATGGCACAGTCATACTGGAATGCCATGTGATTTTGTTTTAGGACAATATTTTTTTTTTCAACTCTTTCTCGTTAAATTAGATAGATAATTGTATCTAATATCCTTGAGGTGGATACAGAAATATTCTGAACTTGATGATTACGATCTGGTTGTTGGAGGGCATTTTCTATTCCTCTGTTGTTTTTGTCTGTCTGCCCTATTATTTCCCAGCACTTTATTGTGTCAATGTGTTTTTATTTACCCGAACAAACAAAATTCAAGATGATTCCGAGAAATAGTGACAAGTGAATACTGAATATTGAACAGCGAATGTTGCTGTATGGACCTACTTATTTTATTTTACTAGGGGGGAAACCTTTCGCATAGGCATTCGAATAGCACAAATAGTAGCTTCATGTTTCGAAGCGTTAATGAAGTTTCGTATCCTAAAAATCGCTCAGCCTCAGTCCACGCCATTACTTCTGGCTCGCCATTTTTTGCGACTGCACAGGTCTCGAAGTAATGACCTGCAAAACCAGACGGTATTGGGAAGCCACGCGAAGGTTCTCCCTCATTACAACTCTTTTTTTATTGTTGAGACTGTTTGAAGCATTCCAGACGCCAGGCACTCACTCATTCTCTTATTTGAGGGTCCTTTTACAGCTGAAGCTGTGAGAGTTAACCTTTACGAGGCAATTTGAAGTACTGAATGAAGAGAATGAAGAGCTTTGGGTTTGGTGGGAGGTCGAGGAAGTGACAGAGTGGGGGGATGGGGAAAGAACGAGAGAGAGAGAGAGGGGGGTGTTGGGATAGACATAAGGGGAGACATAGGGAGAAGAAAGGTTTGAACACAGATTAAGAAGAGAGAGAGAGAGAGAGAGAGAGAGAGCGAGAGAGAGAGAGAGAGAGAGAGAGAGAGAGAGAGAAATAGAAAGGCAATCTAAAAGAGGGATAGGGGTGGAACGAGGAGATCAAAAGAAAAATTGAGAAAATAAGATTGGACAAAAAGAGAGAAATACAATTTTTGGTATAACGGAGAGAGAAAACAACAGAGTGTGTGAAAAGAGACAGAACGGGTGAAGAAGAGAACGATTAAAAGTGGGAGAACATAAAAAGACATAATGTAATATGATTTTATTTAGAAAGTTGTTCAAACAGACCTCACGAAACCAACCATAGTACAGGTAGGAGAAAATGATCACTTCGGTAACGGACGTCGACAAAACAGTGATATTGTGACAATAATGGTCAGGACAGACCGTCAGAGTTGGTTTCTTTAATTTTAATTGAACACTATAAAGTGCTCTGATCAATCCTTCCTGAGAATGGCAATGTTATGAGGATACAGAGAACTGAAGGTGATTTTTTGTGGTTTGTTTTTGTATTGTTAAAAGAGTGGGCAATTTTTTAACCTGAAAGATTTACTTACAGCTAGTTTGTTGGAAGAAATCAGTTTAAAGAGCGATCTTAACCTTTTCGGGCATGTGGCATCCTACTGGTAGATCAAATTTGGTAGATCTGGGCTTTTTCTAATCCTCAAGTATAATAATGTAACGATGACTTGCAGCACACATTTATGTCCGAATAACTTTGGCCCGAATAA